GAATGATTTTCCCTTTTAATTTTTACAAACTTCCTAGCAACTTCTCATCTTTCTTTCTGTTTTTTTGAGGCTTGATGTTCGATCCCTCACAGATTTGCTTGTTTCGGATAAGATTCTTGTGGAAGTTTGGAACCAGGTTTTTGATCATTTCTGAGGAAAACACCGAAGTGTAATTCATGGGCAATCTGGAGTCACTTTTAGGGCGCAGTGAATTGAGGGATGATAATAGGTTTTTTTTTTCTAATGCAGGTATTTGGAAATTGGGGGTGAGATTGTTAGGCCAACACTTATTGAAATAGTGATTACTGCCTGATCTAAACTCAACTATTGATTCCGTCGTGGAGAAGTTGGAGGATTTACCTGAGACCGTCTTCGAAGATGTATTCTATATTTTAAACTTCTAGAGACAGGGGCGGAGCCAGAAAAAAATCTTAGTGGGGGCACAAATAATACTAAAATTTTTTATCTACTCTTTTTTTAATTTTTTGAGCAAAAAATAAATAAATTCACTAACAAGTATAAATGATATGTATATGCCATGAAAAACATAAAAAGACAAACTCAAAATTATTAATGTAATAATAATTTTATTTCAAAAACAAACTAAACTATTTACAATTGTTCACGATGAGTTTTCATATTTTGATAACGGTTTACAACTTTCTCATTTTCAACTTCACAAAGTATATTTTTCTCAATATAAGTAACTAAACAATCATTCATCCAAGTGTCTCCCATTCTATTTCGCAACCGATTCTTCACTATATTCATAGCTGAAAAAGCTCTTTCTACTGTAGCTGTAGCAACAGGCAAAATCAAAGCCAACTTTAAGAGCATATAAACCAATGGATACACAATATCTCTCTTAGTCTCCACCAACCTTTGAGCTAGATCAGAATATCTATTTAACTAAATTTACCCATATTTGTCCATGAATAGATGGGTATGAGTATCTTAAATTTTTGTATACGGGTATAAATGGGTTACCCAATTAATCCATTTATAATTGTTTCCCCCTAAACCTCCTCTCTTCCTCCACCCATTTTTTTTTCCCAAAATTTTCATTTTATCATAATGTTAACTACTTTGTTTCATTATTATTATTATGTGTTGGTTTTATCTTATCATTTTATTTTCTCTTAGTTTGTTAACTTGCTCTCCCAGCTACACATAATATACAAGTAGGTAGTAATATTTTATTTTCTGGATAAAAATAAAAGAAAAATAAAAAAACTACTTCCTCTCTTTTTTTTTTGTTTTAATAAATAAGAAAAGTAAAACTAATTATTATTGCTCAGGTCATTCTTACATACTATAGCTAGCTAGTGTTACTTGAAGGAAAATAAATGATCCTGTAGGTGAAATGCACAAAGCATCCGGCATGCTCCGGCCAGCCAGTCAGAGTTGTTATAACAGATTTTTGTCCCGGATATCCATGCACTTCCGGACCTGCTCATTTCGACCTCAGCGGAACTGCTTTTGGTGCCATGGCCGTTCCCGGGAAAGAACAAAAGCTTCGCGATGCCGGAGTTTTGGAAATCAGCTATGCACGGAGTTTTGGAAATCAGTTTTGGAATCCCCTATATATAGGGGGTTTTCCGGCGGCTTGGGGGGGGCTTAAGCCCCCACCAGCCCCCCCTTAAATCCGTGGCTGTCTAGAGAAATATCCTATGCTTTGCCACAATGCAAGGTGTTAAGCAGATGCACTTGATGGTTCTCCTGACTAATTCTAAATTTTTAGCTTTCATAACCGAACACCTTGGTCGTGTGTACATTTTTCTGGTATAAAACGCAAGTGCAATTATGTTTAATTTGAAATTTCTCAATTGGAACCGAAGATTAAGCTTATTAATCACCAATTCCTTGTACCTTCTGTCCGTGTCTTGAAAGCTTTAAAAGTGGTATCAAGATCATCAGTTACTTCTGCTCTGGTGGACGAAAAGCAAATAATGGCAGAAATTGTTGATTCTCTCCTAGGTATTTCTATGCCTCCACTGGTATGTTGTTATACCACTTTTACGCTCCTTGTGCAGGATTAAATGCTTGCTTCACGAGGGAGGAAGGTTCTCCCCCACACCAAATTCTTGCGCGTCCTCAGGCAAACTCAAACTAGAAGACCTAAGCACAATACCCCAACAACTAATTCAACTCTTCCATAAACATTGAAGTCATGCTACCCTCACAAAACAACTGTAGTACAGCACTAGGTAAGCTATTAAACAACTAAGAATCTCTTCACATAATAAATGCATTCAAGCACAAAACCAATCTAAGTGATAGAATAGACCTCACAGGTTAATCTCACCCTCTCAACCATATGCATAAGTCACATAAGTTTGGCAATATATCACTCAAATTCATTCCATAAAAATGCGCTGTCATAAGCTTAAAAAGGATCTAACTCTTCGTTACCTCAAACATGCATAACATCAATCATAAGAACTTTAAATTTTTGGATGTAATAGGGCTCAAAGGTAAGATAGTTGGAAATTTAAGACAAATCTTAGAACTAGTGGAGAACAACACTAAACAATCCCGAACTGAAGGTAACTCCCAAGACGTCTCTGCAAATAGGATTCAATGAATTACACTTTGAAGCACCACGTATATCTTTTGTGAACAAGAAGAGTCATTCTCCAACCATTAGCTACCTAATTGATAATAATAACTCACTGAAAACCCATAAAGCTCCAAAGGAATACTAATTATGACAAAGGATATTCTTTTCTTATTTTTCTTTTTCTTCATTTTTTCTTTTCTTTTTTTTTTCTGGCTTTTTTTTTCATTTTTTAATTATTTTTTGGTATCCCTACCAAACTTTGAACTAATGTATGCCAATCAAAAGTAACAAGGTATGATGCATTAATGTACATTTTCAAACTCAAATTTTTTTTCCAGCAAATCCAATTGTATAACCTATTCTATCTTAATCTAGGGGGGAGGGAGAACCTAAGGAGGCTTGTGTTACGGGCTAGTGGGTATACAAACTCAACTAGACCAAGGGAATGATATGATACAAACTCAACTCTTATAGTACAATTGTACCGTGCAAATGAATCGCAATTTGGTACCACATGTCCAAAACGTTGAAAAGCTGAATAATAGAAAAGAAATTTCTCATGACATTTTGCCTCTGCAATACTTTTAACTTTCCTTTTTATTAACTATTTCTAATAATTATCTAAAAACACTCTTGTAGGTTAAAGAAATCAGAAATTACAAAAATGCTAAGACTTTGATGTTCCAAAGAAAATTCCAAGAGGCGCAAGAAATAGCAAATTGGACTCGCTTAGATGATGTGTTTTTTGAGAATTTGAATAAAACTTTAATGCAATTTATTGCAGAATTTGTACAAAAACTTTTTTTGTATTTGAGTGTTTAGGGAATGTGTGAAATACTTTCTCATTTTAATTTTCTTTCCTCTTGTTTCCTTTCTTTTCTATCTTCTTTTTCCTCCCTCTCCTTTCCCATTCCCCAAACTAGCATTGGCATCGATGCTGGCACCTCACACTCCCCACCTTTTTTCCTTTATTTTTTTTTTTTGCCTTTCCCTCTCTCTCCCTTTGTCTCATCTTCCCTCTTTTCTCTTCTCCTCCTCCTCTCCTCTCCCTCGCTTGTCCTTCTTCCCCTCCCCCCTCGCCTGCCCTCGTAGCCAAAAAAAAAAAACTCTTAAATCATTTAACCAAAAAATACAAGAAAAAAAAAGAACCAAAACGAGTTACTACTCCACATAAGCAAAAAAAAAATAAAAATTAACCTTTTCATGACAAGATGAAAACAAAATTAGCCCTTAAACCATTTAACCCAAAAAAATGGACAAAAAAGAAAAGAACCAAAACGGATTATACTCCACATATGCGAGAGCCAATTGCTACCAATCTAACAAAACTAAACAAACAAAAGAAAAAAAAAGGTTACTAAAGTAAAAAAAGTTCAATAGTCCAAAGTAAAAGAAGTATCATGCACAATTGCAAAAAAGTAGGAATATTACAAATGCTGTGAGGCAACTAAATTTTTTAAGTCTTTTGTTGTCATTTCTTCGTTTATCTTAGGTGGCGTTTGGTAAGAGGGTTTCGAAATAAAGAATTGAAATAAACCCTATAATTGTTGCTTGAATTGCTACTATCGGAATTGGAATTTGAAATCATATTTAAAAATTTAGAGTTCCCCAATTCCCTAGTAACTTGGAAGGTTTTAGATAAAACCCAAACCTGAGTCCCGTTTAGAAACGGGGCTCATCCTACCACCCGTTACAAAAATTAATATATAATTATATACATAATATATATAATTATATATAAAATATATATTATAATTTTATGAAATTCGAACTCGAACTCTAATTCGACGAGTTCAAAATGTCAAGTTTGAGTTCGAGCTTAAAAAAATAAAAAATAATTATTTTGTTTTTAAAAATGAATAAAATAATAATTTTTCTTAACAAATAATAAAATATAAGGGATATATATGTAATTTTACTATTAAAATAATATATATATATAATCAAATTCGCGAGCTAACGAACTTAGTATTAACAAATAATAAAATAAAGGGATATATATGTAATTTTACTATTAAAATAAATAAATATATATATATATATAATCAAACTCGCGAGTTAACGAACTTAATATTTTTAAGCTCGAGATCGAAGTTAGGATCAAGTTCAACTTTATTAGCTCGAACTCGTGTGTGTCGATTCATTTGCAGCTCTGGTGAAAATATCCTCAATTGAAATTTGTGTTTTCTAAATAAGAAATTGAAAAAGCCTTTAAAATTTGAAGGTCCTGCCCTCCTGCCCAAATAGCACTAATTATTCTGAGGCCCACGAAACGACTCGTGTTTCTTCGGTAATGGACGCCACAAAGGCTTGTTGAAAAGCTCCACCACCTCTCTCTGTTTGAAATGTGGAAAAGCAAAAGACAGCATCAATATTCTTGTGGGGCAAGAAAAGTGAGAAGCATAAATATTCTTCGCAAAAACAACCTCTGCTTTTTGTTTTGTGGGCAACACAGTGAAGGCCTGCTACTGTGAACTATCTCGTCTCAGACATTCAGTAGTAGTATATTTTTCAAAGAAATCCCACGCAGCGGTTTGTTAGGGTAGAGGCGAAGCTGGTTCCAGCCGGTTGCCGGAGCTTCTGCAGTTAATTTCTTCAAACAGAGCTGATTACGGTGCTCATCAACAACAGGTATTTTTAAAATTCAAGGAAATCAAAAAAGAAAAAGGAAACAAGTTGATTAATTATTCCATTTTCTCTGCTGTTTATATCTTCTGTATGTTGAAAGAATCATCGGTTGAGTTGATTCATTTTGAAGTCGGAAAAGATGATCTAACTCTGCTAATTTTGGTCTTGGTCTGGAATAAATCAGCATAGATGTAAAAAAAAAAAATATATATATATATATATTAATCAGATGGCGTGAGTAACATATAGCTGTAAAAGTAATTATAGAAAAAGCTTCTAAACTTTTTTTTTTTTCTTAGTGATCCTTCTCAGTTAGAGGCTAATAGTTAATGATGCAATATTTTTTCTCTAAATAAATTTACTACCTTTTCGTACAAATTGGTATTCATGAAAAGTAGAAATTCTACAATTGAAATTTGATAAATGTATTGCTAAATATCGATGATAATGACTTGAGGAAATTTTTTTAGTTAAAGAATAGCCAATTTTAGATTAGTCTGAGAAGTTCAACACCTTGATAGAGTAATAGTTAGATAAAATAAAAAGGTCAAATTTAGAGAATTGTATAAAAATCTCTTAATACTGAAATTCTATAATCTCTCCATTACTCTGCCAAATTAACTTTTAAAAGGAAAATTATTTCAATAAAATTTTATTGCTATAATAACATCTAAAAGTTCTCCAAAAACCAATGTCTTTACATGGCAAAAGCTCATTTGTATTGGGTCTAGTTATATGGATTTTTTTTCCCTAACAGGCATGGATACTCGTTAACATGCCAAAATTATATGTAACTTTTCAGTGAATACACACAATCACAATTATTGTACCTCCTGTGTTTTATATACTTTTTCAAATTAACTATACTTTTTCTTTAAAAAAATTAACATATGAGACTTCTCTTACCCAGCATTCAATGTGCACTGATTGGCCAAACCATACTTAGAGGTGGCAAATCAACCCACTTAACTAAATTTACCCATACTCGCCCATGAATAGATGGGTATGGGTATCTTAAATTTTTGTATATGGGTATAAATGGGTTACCCAATAATACCCATTTATTTAAATGGGTATTATTGGGTAACCCATCAAACCCAATGAACCCATTTAGAATTTTCTTCCCCCCAAGTCTCTTATTTTCCCCCACTTTTTTTTTTTCAAATTTTTCATTTTGTCATGATGTTAACTATTTTTGTTTCATTATTATTATTATTATTATTTGTTGGTTTTATCTTATTATTTTATTTTCTCTTAATTTGTTAACTTACTCATTTTTTAGCATTACCAATTTATGATAAATTTTAGCCTATTTTCTTATCTTTATAAAATGAAATTTTAAATTTATCTATGAAAAAAATGTTAGGGGTTCAAAATTTTTGGATTAAGTTTTTATATTAATTTTTATAGTACTTAGTTCAAATTTTTATATTCTTATTATTCAATTATTAAATAATAGGTAATTTTGTGACATAGAGTATAAATGAAAAAAAATTGGTAATTAAGTTTATTGAACAATATAAGTAAATATTTAAAACTAATGATGGGTACAAAGAGTGGTATAAATTGATAACTTAGTTTGCAAAAATGAATTTAAATGAGTTTGCAAAAAGTTAAAATAAATGGGTTATAAATGGGTAATTAGGTTACCCAATTCATTTTGTGACTTACCCATTTATACCCATCTAATTAAATGGATATAAATGAGTTGACTCACTTATATCCATTACTCATTTTACCCAACCCAAACCCGCCCAAGTCACCCATTTTGACACCTCTAACCATACTTATATACGTAATGATAGAATCATGAGTCTATTTTTTTTTTTTTTTGAAGGTTAGGATCATGGGTCTCACAGTTGGACGTTGTCCAGTTCAACCTGATTGTTGTAGTTTTTACTTCTTACCTCTTTTGGTGTAAAAACGTTTAAAATGGGTGTAAACTTGAAATTGTAAACTTACGTAATGAAATTTGTGTAAAATTCAATCCAAAACAGTATTAGTTTATAGCAATGTGCTAATGATTTCTTTAGGACAATTTGCCGTACTATTTCTTGGCAACTAAGGCAACAAATTTTAAAATATACCTACCTGATCTTTTTAGGGTAGTTTATAACTAATCTCCTAATGTATACCCTAATTCTAACTTCATCCCATAACCTCATTTTTGTGTGTAATGAACCCTTCTTTTTATTTGTCTTTCTTTTATAACTACTGAAATACAAATTTGGCACAGAATCTAAATTTTGGAAAAAATATATTTAATATACATTAATTGTTAGTTGAAGTGTTAAAACCCTAGAAGAATGCTTGTTAATTACACTATTGTTTTGTAATACATTTACGATAATTTAGCAACACCTTATAATCTGACAGGATGCTCCTTGACCCAATGAGTAGCTAGTGCCCGGCCGGTTATTTTACTAATGTCTCTTTTTGTAATAGTGTAGCCAATAAAATAGATTATCACTATACTGGTCTCAACTTAATTGCCCCAAACAAATGCTTATGAATACACTTTTGGACATAAAAAAAGTTACCACAACACATTGAAAGTTTACACCCTTACATACTAAATCTCCCAAACTTATGCTATGCCATTTTCTTATCCCTATGTTTTACGTATTTTTATCCCAAGTTTTAGGCATGCAAACAAGTAATGGTTAGGAGAATTTATTACTTGTCTGATGCGTAAAATACAATAAAACCTCTATAAATTAATAATTTTGAAATTATACGTATTCTATTAATTTAAAGAGGTATTAATTAATAATTTATTAGTTTATTGAACATACTTACAATTTAAAGAAACACTCATTTAATCAACTAAAGTTTTATTTGATTTTATAAAAGTATGAATTATTCTATCAATAAAAGGCAACTAAAAGTCTAAGCAATATAAACCAATCAAGTTCATGGGTCTCAAGTTTAGAAGAAATTGTTGCTAGCATCACTGAAAATTTTACTAATGATGAAGCTCAAGATGATATAGTAGCTTTGGAGTCTATTACGTGGAAGGAAGCACTCAAAATATCAATAACTCTTCATAATTTCTAATTGCAATATGAGAATTCAACTCCAAAACTTTTAGATGCAATACAAAAAATTAAGGATGAGATTCAGGTAGATTTAAATTTTAAGAAAAAATAATAATAAACTTGTATTTTAGGAAAATATGATATGTAATTTTAGTGACTTATTAATTTATAATATGAATGGGACCAAAGGGTTATGTAAGTTTTTTCACAAAAAATTATTATCATATTATTTTATCAAAATTATTAATTTAGCTCATATCCAAGTTGGGACCAAGAAAATTTATTATTTAATAGAGATTATTAATTTATCGAGTATTAATTTATAGAGGTCTTGTTGTATAACGTATAAATTATACAAGGGAAAATGACCTGGTTCATCTCTTGCTTTTAGGTGAAAATTTTTTGTCCATCATCTGTAAAATGAAACAAATTTGTCACTCGCATTCTAAAAGGAAAGTAAATTGGTGTTAAAATGATAACCTGATATAGATTTCAAAAGTAAAATTGGAGTATCACTTTAGTTTCTTGCAAATTTAGGCTATTTAGCTACACTTGATATGCACAAAATGTTTAGTCAACATAAAAAATTAATTCTTTCTAAAAAAATCAAAATTTTTGAGAAAATGAAGTCAACATAAAAATTCCCTCTTTTTTTTTTTTATAAATAACTCATAAATCTGGCCTAAACATTTTTTTTTTTTGGAAAATATACTATACCAATACCAATAATACAATGTTCATTAATTTTTAGTGATGTGTTAGAGCCTCGAACCAGTGCTGTTTAATACACTTCTTACTAGAGCGAAGAGCTTGTTTTTTATGTTATAATTTTTAATTTTTTTTAGAGACAATGGTTTTTTTTATTACGTTATCATTTTAATTTTTTTCCTTTTTTATAATGACTTAATATTATCTTCTCAAAAAATTTTATTTTTTTAAAGAGAAGGATTTATTTTTTATGGTACAATTTTATATTTTTCCCAACTTAATATCATGTGCATATCAAGTGTACCAAGAATTGGAAATTGGAAGAAATGAAAAAAAATAAAAAAATCTCCGTACTTAATTGTACACAATTGTGTAGTGGCAGCCATGGACCATGGAAAGTGACCCTTCGGTATTAGCAAATTAGCTCAGGATTGGAAATGGGGGTGTATCTATTGTTTACTAGTTACCACTACTACTTTGCCCGTTATAAGAGTATCCACGATGGTGTGTAACAGAGGGTGGAATAGCGCAACGGTAATATTTTTTTAGATTTTAATCCTCAAGATTTTGTCAATTTGACCAATTATTCAAAGTGCTCAAAACTTTCAATGGTCAAATATTACCCGTTTTCTCCATTTTATTCAAAAGATTTAAGGTCCATTTTGCAATGGTAAAACAAAATAATGGCAGCATTGCGACGGTAATATTTTTCTTTTTTTCAATCCTCAAAATTTTATCCATAAATATTGTTAATAATTTCTCAATTTCTCACACTCTTATTCCATCATTGCAACAGCAATATTGGGGAGTGGTTTGAAGGCAATGATAATGAAAATTAGTATTTATTATGTAATCTTACTTCTACTTCAGTTGATTTAAGTTATGTAACAGAGTTAAATTAACTAAATAGAGCATTATTAATTGAGTATGATGATTATGATATATTTACATTTTAAGTGTTGGGTATTTGTCTAATGATTACTTAATTATTTTTTTGAAAATAACAATGTATTAATTTTGAGACCCAAAAAATATGTATTTTTTTCATGAATTAATAATATTGTTTTTCCAAAATAAAAAATTTGAAAAGTAAAAATTTCACCAAAATTTAATAAATTATTTTTCAAAAACAATGAAATTACTTTTTAGAAAATAAATTTATTTATTTATTTACAGGATATGTATTGTGAATTATTAAAATAAATATGTGATTTGATGTGGGTTCATGCGATTATACTATGTAGAGTGTAGTCTATAGTGAGTGATGCTATAATGAAAGAAAGGGATAATAAAATGATGATGAAAAAAATGGATTACACTCTTTTGGATGTCCTAGTGGACCATTTCACATGCAAAAAATCTTGCATATAAGAATTTTTTTTTTATTTTGGTTGAAATCATCAGAATTTTCTTTTTTCTTTCTTAAACTTGATTTTGTGTGGGTAGGTGCATGATATACTGGAAATTTTTGCGTTTTCACAAGATCACCAGCCGCTGCCAGAGTTTTCACTTTCGCTCAAGCGAGTGCTGGTTTTTTTTTTTTTTTTTAAATTTAAAGGTTTTTTTTTTTTAGTGTAGCTTCACCATATAAATGGAATTTCTGCAGATTCAACAGGTCACCTGTTCCCAGAGAATTCATTCTCTCCAAAGTCAGTGCTGAATTTCTTTTTCTTTTTTTTTTTCCTTAGTGTTGACCTTACATTATGTTTGGTTGAAATATATATGGCTTCCATGTGTTCTTGACATTTCTTCTGCTAGTATACTAGAGGGTGATCAATGTGTTCTTCCACTTAATGGTTGAAATATTTTTGGACGTACAGTTTCAGTTTAATAAGAGGAAATTCCTCCCAACCTCATACTATGGAAAGAAACACTTGGAAACTAAGGATGAAATAAGAGGAAATTCCAGCATTTTTATTTGACTCAGCATTAGATAAATCAATTTTTTATATGAATACATGTATTCTTAAATTACTGCAGCAATTATGTGAACGCATTTCATGTGATATGATATGATGAGCAACTATGAAATTAATATGTTTCTTCACCTCCACGGTGTTTATCTTACAATTAGGTTGTTGTTATTTCTCCATGGATGTAGGGAAAAAAAAGATTTAGATGGTTTACTGTATCATATTGTCTCACATGAAAAAAGGAGTAAAAATGTTAGTCTTATTAACAAGTTTTTAAATTTGGAGAAGTTGCCATGTTAAAAATTTAAAAAAAAATAAAAATCCATAGGCTTGTGATCCTGATGTTCAGTGCAATGTAACTTATTTAATCCCAAGAAGATTAATAAAATAGAGAACATGACATTTTGATTTTCAAGCTCTCAAGAAAAATACTTTAAACTGGGCCATATACAATTGTAATTGAACTCTAATCCACAGGCCAATTTGCACTCCAAACACTAAGATTTGGAATTGGGAAAAAGCGAAAACTCCCTTAGTGTTTACAATGCTCTGCATGCAACTAACATTTTTTTTCCTTTATCTCTTTTTAGCTAGCTAACGATTCAGGAATTTGTTTTGAAAAAAGAAAGGCTCCTTTTGAATTAGTTATTTTTGTGGATATTTTTTTAAAAATTTTTACTATACCTGTATATATATATAAAACTTTAGTGTAAATGTTTTTAAGGGTGTTTTTAGAGATATTTTTAGGAGGTTTTTTTAAAGTATTTTGGAATATTTTTATAATTTATAATTTTTTTGGTATTTTTTAAAAGTTTACACTACCCACCCCCCCCCCACCTTCTGCTCCCTTCTCTCTCCTCTCTTTCCCTTTCATACCCTCTCCCCTCTTCCTTTTTCCTCTGCCTTCTCTCTCCTCCTCTTTCCTCCCTCCTCCTCCCTCTCCTTCTTCTCCTTCCTTCTCACCCTCCTGCCTCCTCCCCTCCCTTCCCTCACCCCCTAGACCCCTCCTAAGGCCGCAACCAGAAGTCGCCACTGGAACTAAATTTTGCTAATTTAAATTTGTAAAGATGTAAAAATAACATTTTAAAAGTAAAAAACAAAAAAATTCATTTAACAAAATATGAGGGATGTTTTGAACAATTTTTCCTTATTTCATTTATATTAAGTACAAAACCCAAAGTAGGCATTTATTCAACCAAGAACTATCTCGTGCTACATGCAAATTTATTTTACGTTGACTGTTTGTCCCTTTTGACTTTATTTCGAGAATCTTTTCAGTTCTACTATAAAAAATGAAATAAAATTCAACAAAGAAGTGAAAGAAAAAGAACAGAAACTTTTGTGCCTTTACACATAGGCAAAAGGAAAGATGCATAAACTAATTCAATTGATAAAAGAGACGATAAATTTCAGGGGAGATCATAATTATTTCTCCAACATTTAAGCAATTATATTTGGAGATCAAGGCGGAATTTTATTGAGGAAGTCAAAGTTCAAATTCCAAGAAAAACTAGGCAATAGATAATTTGTTAAAGCAGTTGAAGGAAAAAAAATAGTAAAAGAGGAGGAGAAAAACTTGGGATTTTTTTTTAACAAAAGCTCAGTATTTAATACTTCCTCTATCCCATAATAATAGGTTCACTTTCCTTTGTGCCTGTCCCAGATTATAGGCCTATTGCCTTTTTTAAAGAGTAGTTAGTTTGTTGTTTTACTAACATGCCCATATTTAATGTACATAATTATTATAAATTTTTGAATATATTAGTTGCCTTCTAATGGCTCCAAATTAACATGTTTGATTGTTTGGCAATTTTATTTTTGTTATTCATTTTAGTCAAACATGTAACATTAATTAGATTGACTCTTGCATTAAGAAACTAAAGTACTCTAAATTCCAAAAATAATATAGTAATACAGCCTCTTACTTTGAACGAATGATCTAATATTTATAAAGGATATTTGAGGAAAGTATGAACAAAGAATAATTGTTATAACTACAGTAACTAAATTTTTTAATCTGCATGAGGAAAGAAATGACCTATGTTTATAGGACAAAGGGAGTATACAATCAAAGAACCATTGAAATTTAGTAACCATACTTTGGGAGTATTATTGTAAAAGGCTAAAAGCACAACTTAAATGTGTCCATTCTGTTGTTAAACTTCAAAAAACTCTAATCTATCTATATTAAGTGTAATAATTTGTCTTACAATTGTTGAGAGGAATAATTAATTATTCAGAATAATTAATGTAGAAACCATCATATGAATGTCGTAATCTCACTGGTCATGTGACTGCAAAATTGAGCTTGAAAATATGTTGGAGGAGGAGGAACCGTGACTGCAAAATTCAATTTGGTCATTAAAAATGTAAGCGACCAAATTGGTACACGCGTGGCCACTAACAAAGGACTATATTGATCAATACCTTATTGTCAAGGGACAAAAATGATAACTTATCTGTTGATCTTGGTCTTGGTCTTCTTTTGGCCAGACGGGATCCTCTGTCCAATTTTCTGTGTCCAATTTTCTGTCCAACACAAAACTACGTAGTTCCACTTATTCTTGTGGCTGACGTGGCACATAAAAATAAATGCCTGTTTGGCTCCATTATACTTTTGGATCTCTCTTCTTTTTTGGATTTTCTTTATTTACATATCTTTATTACATCTGAAACAACAATCTCTCTTCTGCCAGATGATTGTTGTTTCAGATGTAATAAAGATATGTAAATAAAGGAAATCCAAAAAAGAAGAGAGATCCAAAAGTATAATGGAGCCAAACAGGCATTTATTTTTATGTGCCACGTCAGCCACAAGAATAAGTGGAACTACGTAGTTTTGTGTTGGACAGAAAATTGGACATAGAAAATTGGACAGAGGACCCGTCTGTCTTTTGGCACCACTAAAGTAGCTGGGGAAGTGTAGTCGCACTTATGTAACTTTTTATTACGTCTGCTGCACGATATCTTCTATGAACAAAATAGCGTCTCACAATATTAACACAAAAAGTTAAAAAATAAAGGTCCTGCCTGTTGTTTGTTGGCTATTTTGTTAGATGAGAAAATTGTAGATCATGAACTAATTTATTCAGTGGCTAAACCAGGTCGAAGTCTGATACCAGAGGGAAAAGAAGATACCATAATGGCGATTCCCTGCAGCAGTAACACCAGTTTCTTTGATTTTGCTTTAGATGACCATCTGCGGTCGCATCACATGTCCTCCAGCACTAGCACTAGTTGCTTTGATCTTGCTTTAGATTTTCTATGCAAGCTTGAGAAGTCCGTCGATTTCCAGCTCTTCGGTATCGCGGATCTGAAGGAAAACATAAGATTCTTGAATTCCTTTTTTCTGTATGTCAAGAAGTGTAGGAGGAGGAACCGTGAAGCGCCTTTGGAGCATGATCAGGAGGACGCGGGTAAAACGATTTTGGAGCATGATCAGGAGGACAAGGGTAAAGAGCTTTTACAGCATGATCAGGAAGAAGCGGGTACTATTCTGTCTGAAAGTTTGTCACATAGTGCTATTTGCTTCGGAATTCAAGGTAGGGTTATTAAGATGGTTCATGATCTTCAGTCTGCTTATCTTTTATACGAAGGTTCTGATGAGTCAGATAGAATGCCAATAGTATTTATTGCGATAGCCAGATCCTTGGATGATATTTGGTCATTTCTTAAGACAGATATCATGGAATCATGCACCGTCATCTTCCTCGACTATTACCCGCCAGGAGATCCACAACTAGTTATGGATCTTATTGCATCCCTTTTGGAGTCTCTGAGGCAACCTTTAATTGAGTTAGAGAATACTATGAGACACGAGCTAAAGCTTTTAAGGAGTCTCATTTGCTTTGCAATAGTGCGAGGTGTTGAGTGTACGCAATTGACAGATCTCTTGACTCACGCTGCAGTTGTGGTTGAACAGGCAATTTTTGAGTGTTGCTTTGACAGCGATGAAGAACAAGCGCCTAGTCAAACGGACTCTGAAATTTATGAGTTGATGGATGAGAATATAGATCCTTTTGGTCCCCAAGTCCGAGAAACTTGCATGCATGTCCTGACGGCTTCAAAGAAACAATTAAGATCATCATATGCTTTAGCCCTTGAGCAAAATGAGCATCGAGTGCTAGTCGAATTTATTGATTCTCTCCTAGATTATCTTACGGATCTTCTAGGATATTGTGCTAGTTTTCAGGTTCTGGTAAAGGATCAAATGCTAAAACTCCATCAAGGAGTAAAATACTTGAGTATCCTTCTTGAACAGGAGAAGAAACTAGGCGATGAAATTAAGGATCTTGTTGGAGTTGTGGTCCATGATGCAGGAACTCTGATCTTCTCCCTTTCTGTCAACGAAATCAAAGAAGGTTTTTCCAAGGAAACAGATCTTGTGTTGTTTCATTTGTACAAAGTTCTCAAGTATATGATGGCAGAGCTTGCGCACAATTATCCACTAACATCACCACATTCATCATTTAATTATCCTAGATCCAATGAGTTGGGCTGTATGGATTTTTTCCTAAAAAATCTCAAGGAACTAGCAAGGTGTGATGAGGCTAATGATTCAATTGTTTTTCTACAGGATAGAATCCAAAGGATCGAAAAAGATCTTGAATTCTTGAGACATGTCCTGGTGAATATCAAGGAGCAGCGCTATCAGAATAGAAAACTCCAAGCTTTTTGGAGTCATGTTATGGAGGCTGCATACAAGGCAGAGTTATTGATTGACTCAACACTAGTTAGTGATAAATGTGAAGATTCTTTGGATGCTGTTGCTAGAGATATCAATCTTCTGAAGATTGAGGCTTTGGAGATCCAAAATGGTCAAATCCAGAGAGTTAACAAGACGTCCATTCACATACCATCACAACTTATTGCCACCATTCACAATGAAGATCTGGTGGGTGTCGATGACAAGGTGAAATCTGTCATTGATCGACTTAGGAGTGGATCAAAGCAGTTGGATTTTGTTCCCATTGTAGGTATGCCTGGGATTGGTAAGACCACATTAGCCAATAAAGTTTATGTTGCTGATTCAGTTACGTCACATTTTCATGTGTGTGGCTGGTGTTATGTCTCTCAAATGTATAGCATGCGTAGTTTGTTAGTTCAGCTTTTGTGTAGTATTTCTTCTGAGAGTCCTGAAAAATATCATAAGAAGGATGAAGATGATTTGGCCAAGGAGCTAAAGCAAGTTTTGCTGAGAAATAGGTATCTCCTTGTTTTGGACGACTTGTGGGACATTGAGGCATGGAATTTGTTGGTAAAATCATTGCCAAATGATGCCAATGGAAGCAGGATTCTCTTCACCAGCAGATTTCAGAATTTGTCTTCAAAATTCAAACCTGATACTGAGCCTTACTATCTCCGCCAACTTACGGACGAAGAGAGTTGGACATTGCTGCAGAAAAAGCTATCTGACAAAGGAGGTTGTCCTCCAACATTAAGTGAAGTTGGATCTCAAATAGCAAAAACTTGTAGGGGCTTACCCCTTACAATTGTCCTTGTTGCTGGAATTCTTGCTACCACTGCACAAGATAGCTGGGAAGAAGTTGCAAAAAGTCTTAGTTCTACTGTCCTTGACAATGAATATTGCATGAAGACGCTTGAGTTGAGTTATAATCACTTACCAGATTATTTGAAGTCATGCCTTCTATACTTTGGTGCATTTCGAGAAGATGAGGTCATTAATGTCCGCAGGTTGTTATGGCTTTGGATCTCTGAAGGATTCGTGCAAAAGACTGAAGAAAAGAGCTTGGAGGAAGCAGCTTACAACTACTTGATGGCTCTGATTAATAGAAGTTTAGTTATGGTTACCGACCAAAGAACTACGAGTGGTGCCAAAGCCTGCCAACTTCATGATTTGGTACGCGAGTTTTGTGTGGAAAAAGCCAAAGAAGAAAGTTTTCTACGTATTATTCAAAGTTGGGAAGACCCTTTTAGTCTTGCTGAACCAAGCAGCCACCACCGAGTTTGTGTTCAAAGTAGCTGGGAATTGAAGACTTGGGAGTTAGTGATAATTTTTCCCAATTTACGCTGTTTGCTGTTGTTTGGATATGATGCTTTTGACTGTGAAGAGAAGCCTTCGAGGATTTTGTTACCTAAGCTTCTTAGAGTGTTGGATTTGGGGGATTGGGGCTCTGGTGAATCATTTCCAATGGAAGTTTTATTGCTTGTTCACTTGAGATACCTGGCTCTCTGTAGAATAACATCAATGCCATCTGCAATAGCCAACCTCTCAAGGTTAGTAACTCTCATCATAAAACATCCAGAGAGTAATATTGTGCTGCCAAATACTATTTGGAACATTAGGACATTGAGTTATCTACGTACTATATATTGGAAAAGAGGTTTTATTTTTGCAGATGGAAATCTTGAAGTAGCCCCAGATTTAGATCATTTGGACACGTTAAACCTTGCAATTGATCCCTTGTCTCAAAACTTGCAAAAGTTACTGAAAAAATTACCAAGCATCCGCAGGCTAAAATGTATGAGAGATGACGAATCAATCGATGACGAATCAAGTGATGATGAATCAAGAGAAGCTACCAGAAATTGTGATGAGATTCTTGTGTTTGACTGTTTGAGTCAACTAGAGTCACTTCATTTGATTGGTTTTCAGGGATATGGGTTTAAATTCCCGTTGAATTTGAAGAAGTTGACTCTCTCAAAGAATGGTCAGCCATGGGGTGAAATTTCAACAATTGGAAAGTTGCCTAATCTTGAAGTGCTTAAATTACACGATTCCTCCTTTATTGGGGAAGAATGGGTAATGAAAGAAGGGGAGTTCCCTAACCTCCGAGTCTTCTGATAATTTTTTCCGTCTTGAGAAATTGGCTGTGAACCAGTGTAGGAAGCTTGAAGAGGTCCCTTCTTGTTTAGGGGAATGTGAGACTCTTGAAATGATTGAGGTGAAATGGTGCCGCGAGTCTGTTGCAAATTCTGTAAAGCAAATTCAGCAAGAACAGATGGATCTGGGAAATACGGATCTAAAGATCGTAATTGAAGATTGTTATGATGATACACCCATTCTCTCCAAAGAATAGTCGAATTCCTCACAAGCAGAGTCAATTCCCTTAGAGGCAGAGGAGATTTCCTCTCACCACACTTGATCAGGTCAGATAAAATTATATTTGCAAATGTTGAATCAATTCAATTATATAATGATTCATGTCCATCTTTCATCTGTTTATATGTTGAATCAGTTCAATGCTATATTAATTCATTTATATCTCAAAGCAATTTCTGCAGGCTCCCAAATTCTTCTGTTTGGATCTAATGCAGTGCCAAACACAATCATGCATTAACCAAACCAACATTACCTTGCATTACCTGTTTCAATTACGGTCTTTCTGTTCCCTGTTTGTGTATCTAAATAAGAGTAACACAGACAAGTGTAAGTTGCTTCTATTTTTCCTCAATAAAAAACCATAACTAAATTGATTGATACGTTGAAACATACAATAGCGGTTTTGCAACAAATATTAAGTAGAGACAAAAACCAGTTTGTGTTACTTTTCAACAGAGAAAGGCCATAGGACCTTTATAGTTTGCACAACATTGTCATTTGAAGCGCATGTTTCATTGACATAGAGATATAGGAATAGTTTTAAATATCTAAAAACATGCATCTTCCTTCACTAAAATATGCTGAAGTACAAACATTTTTATTCTTCACTAAGCCATATTTTCGGAAGTCTAGAGGAAGAAATTTTTCTTGAAACTTTTTTATGCAGCTTCATGTTTTATCTTCCATTTTAAGTGGCTAATTGCTCGAACTCATCAAAATGACATATCAGAAAAGCTAGATGACCTTTTTAGTTGGGTAATATGTATACCTTTCCATTCAACTGATCTAGTACTGCAATTATTCCTTCTTTCACAGCAGGTTTCCTCGGCAGGAGAGCCTTTTTCTTCTCACCACACCAGACAAGGGTGAAGACTCAAGCATTCATCGTCTCTTCTTGATTCCTCGTGCCTCTTCTTTATCTGTACATACGTTGTATCAGTTTGATGACATAATAGTTCATTTGTACTGAAGCAATTTTTAGAGCTTCCAGATTATTTGGTTTGAACTTGATGCAGCTGTATTACTTTGTCATTGCAGGGGCAAGCACAGTCATGCATTCTATCAGTCCAACATTATCCGTCATAATCTATTTGTAAAATGTTCTCCATGCCCTCTTCTGGTTTGATGTTTATTAGTGTTTATGAACCCAATTTTTGAAATCTTCTTCATGTTCTTTTCTAGTTCGAGGTTCAATATGCTTGTATATCATCATCCCAGTTTGTTAAATCTTCTTTGATGCAGCTAAGATTGATGTGATGCTTATAAGTTAAAACCAGCTAAGATTGATGTCATGCTAGATAAACTTTTCTGTTCCTTTATTGTATCACAGATAAGAGTAATACATATAATTGTAACTTGCTTCTGTTTATCCTCAATAAAGAACCATACACTCAATTGATAGATATGTTAAAACATACAATAACTTTTTGCAATAAATATTAAGTGGAGACACCAAAAAAAGAAAAAGATCTAGATTCTGTAACTTTTCAATAGAGAAATAGCATAGGAACAAAATTGTAAATTTCGCTTCAGTACTTGTATTATATATGGAACCCATGTTTCACTGGCATTGAGATCTAGAAACAGCTTTGAAGACCAAGCCAAATGTGTGTGTATGTATGTATGTATATATCATTATCATTACTATATAAAAAGTATGAATGTTGGTATTGGGGAGTGCAAGTGTAAGCACTTTTTTATCTTAGTTTTTGTTATCCCTAAATTACCCTCATGTCTTTTAATTAGAATTATTACATTTTAATGTGGCACTAATTAAAAGAAATAAAACACTCCAATTGATTACATTTTAATGGTATTGGTTATTATAATTAAAAATTTCTCATTAAAAACTATTTACCTACCCTTGGACTCCATCTCCTATTATTATATGTATCAAAATTTCTTAATTGAAGCATGAAAATTTTCTCATTAGTCATTAGTTGAGATTGTTAAAAAAAATCAATTTCAAAAAATAAATACTCTCTAGAAAATGGAGAAACATACAATGACAAGAAAACCCTTATTCATCTGTATATCTTCACACAAATATCACAAGCAAATTTTACAATTATGCACTTTTGCCAATAAGAAGAATTTTTCATGTTACACCCAATGAAATTTCAATATACAAAAAATGATGACACCTTTATAACTGAAATAGCAATATTAAACTAGAAAAAAGAAATCTAAAATAGCACCATACAAACAACTATTATCATTAATAGTAACCGATCAAAACAAGAAAAACTAAAATAAAATTGAAAACTATTTATAAAATGACATAAAGTAAATAGCAAATGAATTAAAATGCTAGAATACAATTCAAGTAATACCAAAGACAACATCCAAATCACTGATATCCAGGGGAAGACAAACATTGTTATTAACAATAATATAGTAATGCTTCATTTGTATTGGTTTGAACAAACCAAATCCATCCATCAAGTCAGAAACCATCTCTAATGATAAAATAAGAATTATAATAAGAGTAAATATAAAATGAAGAATGATAAAATGAAAATGATATCCAAATTGTTTTTGGTGATATCCAAAATACCCTTATTTTTCTAATGATTACATATATTTATTATATTGCAATATTAGTGAAGAATAGAAGCAGTTATGAAATGAAAAGCTTTAAAATTAAGTAAATTTCATTTATGGTGACAGTTGTAATTAGACAGATTTAATGCATTCCACTAATTGATAATAATGATAGTGGTTGTGGATTAAAAGTTGGCAATTAAAAACTAAAACACGGCAAAATACAAAAAATTAATATTAAAATTATTAATTAGCCACAATTCTCATCCAATTTCATGATCATCAAAAAAACTAATATTAAAACAAAAAATATTGTGCTCATATGAAAAAAGTAGACTCGTTGTTGCTCTTGCTTCGCATTGGATTGTGCTAAAAACATGAATAAAAGAAAAGGAAAATAGAAAAACTCCAACTATCTCTATCTATAAAATTTCAATTATTAGAATGCACAAGCCAAAAAAAACTTTACGTAGTGGATCATTTATACTCCATTATTGACAAAAATAGAATTAACATAATACAAAGAATTCAAATGACATTAATGTTTATTTTTCTAACTTAATTATATTCTTCGTTTATAAAAAATTGTGATGATTGTGGTTTATATGCAATACACTAAATACAGTCATGAATATACAATAATTTTGGTAAAACATGATATTATCAATATTTGATATGTTAGAGTTCAAGCTATAAATCAAAAGGTATTTGGTTCATGATTTCAAATTCAATCCTGAGAGATATGTCAACTACATTGGAATGTTTTCTGCCTCTTTTCATTTCATAAAATTTTTAAAAGTAACTAGCTTAAAAAAATAAATAACATAAAAATACTATATTATGACGTTGTTGATCAAAATTTCATAAAAAATTTTTAGTGTTTGAAAAATAATATATTTTAAGATATTACAATCACGTGCAAAGCACGTGAACTATTACTAGTATATTTGCACGTGAACTATTACTAGTATATTTATGTGTGTGTGTTTATAAATATATGAAAACATGTGGGAATGTGCTATCTTTATATGTGTCTTTCTTCTTTAAATGTTTTCATGTATTCACTTTCTTGGGGAGAAAACGTCTCGAGAGTGCCCATCAAAGAATTCAATATGTAAGCCAGAAACCCAATTCTGACCCAAAAGCTTAATCCACTAGGTTTTGTGCCCTTACTTATATATTAATCGTTTTTTCTCTATCTTTCGGACCAATGTAGGACATAATTCTTTATTTATGAATCTAACAAATCTCCCCATTTATGAGTAATCGCTCACATTAAATCTAAATTTATAAACCCCTCTTCGATCCCACATTAATACTCAACGCAAACTCACCTTAACACTTAAGGTCATCTTTTCTTCTAATCATGGATCCACTTTTCTTTAACATCTAAACTGGATTCTAGATCCTTGCCAACTCTTGGCTCCTTAGTCTATGTGACGACCCCACCTCCCCCTAAGGCGTACCAAAGGGTTCGGCGGACCGCCTGCCCAGCTCTCGCCAGGACTCACTCACTATCTCAATCGAATCATATACCCACGTCCATGAACCATAAATAATATTCACAATTCAAACTTATAATTTACATTGATAGGAATCGAGGTACAAAGTCTTAATACATCAAACTAGTTCAAAACGTATACAATCCCAGTACAACATGTTCCATCCGAGAAATAGTGCGAGTACAAGTCAAAAATCAAACAACTAGTCTATGCTAGACTTTACATATCTCACACCTCGCTCGTACCCCTGAAAGGAAAACAAATGGAGTGGAATGAGCTAAAAGCCCAGTGAGGTTCCAAATAACAAATTGACCATTATTTATAAGTACGAGTTTTCGATATAGCAAAGTAACGAGTATAAGGAGTTCATAAATGTGAACAGTAACATGTCAAGTAGCAATCTTAAAATGAGCGAATGTAGAAATTTTTCAAAAGAAACAATAATCCAAAAAACAATAATCACTCCAAAGTATAAGGATACGGATGACTCTCAGGAGCCAAATTCCCATGGCATTACCAGAAGCTTGATCCCGTAGTAGTTGACACTCCGTCAACTTTCAAGTAAGTAACCAATCCAGTAGAACACCACTTACACGACTCTCCGTCCACCGTTCAAACCCCCAGCTGGGCCCAAAATCCTCAATAAACACGGGTGGTAATACTCGAGTATACCGATTAGTCGAGGAGATATCACTCCACTCGACAATACAAGAGACCCAGGGTTCGTTACCCAATCGACCAAGCCCTTGCCGGCTCGACTAGAGTAACTCGCCACAGGGTTTCTGGAATTCCAGGAAGTGCGCGCATCATAAACAAGTATATCAAGTCAATTGCAACAATAAATAAGTATATCACGTAAGGGCAAGTGCGATAAAGTACACTCTTGCCCTATCAATTCACGTATATAACATGTACTCATATTAGTCATGTATCAAGTTCAAGTATCTAGTGCAATTCGGTATTTGAAAGCACTCACCAAAAGATATAGTGCCTTTACTGGTCACTTTCAGGTTATACTCCGGGTTCGGAGTCCAAATCTGCGATAAAACTCAGTTTGAGAACTTTGAAACATGACTTAGATTCGAAACTTAAACGTTTCGTTCAATAAAATTCAAGAAATTGGAATTCACTTGGATGGTAGTCGTGAAACACTTGCTCACTTTTTAAACGGTAAAACTTTATAACTTTTATACTTAAAATCGTCATGCGAGTGGAAAATACAAGGAAAACATACTTCGAGCAATCATGATTGCATTTCTCAAGGGTACAAGTTCGGCCAAGTCCTTACTTATATACCTCGGAACACGCAGACTCAAGTACCCTAGATGGTTCAAGCAGTAATCACTCTTAACCCATACTCGAGTTGCAAGTAGTTCTCTAGTCTTCGAGCGTAAATTTGGGCAGCATGCCCTTTGTGTTTACCTAATTTTCCAGCCATTTAGGCTTCATTATTTTTCTTCAACACCACCCAACATCATACATATCAGCAATTTATGTCAAGAGCCATTCCATAGGCTCACAATATCATAATAACAAGAATCGTATTAAGGACAAGTGCAGAAATTCAATGTGGCACAAGACAGATTTGACGTATAAAAGCGGAAATATCTTATCCGAGGCTACGCTTATCGGATTAAGGCGAAACCTATGCCGTTTCGAAGCTAAGACACAAAGCTACAACATTCATGAAGGTCACTTAGTCCATTTCCTAATGTAACTTAGTTAAAATCTCAGATTACTAAACCAGAAACCAATTCACCGGCTGTTTAAACGCAGAACACTGTAATGGACATAACTCAGTGTACACAAGTCCGAATCAAGTTTTCTTTGAGGCATTTTAAAGCTACTTCAGAACACTACAACTTTCATGTTTTGGTCCAGAGCTAAAACAGAATGGATCCTGGTCAAAAATCGTGATAAACTGGACTGAACTGAAGAAACGGACTGCTGGGAAATACTTAGAACAGTAGGGGTATTTTGGACTTTCCACGTCCTACGTTGCTCCGATTGAGTTGAAATTTTGTAGGCACCTATAAAATGCCATTCTATACAACTTTTATTCTTTGACCTAAGGCCAAAACAGCCTCTAACATATAGATAAAAATTCGGACAGAATGTTGGGACCATTTTCCAGATTTTGGAAATTTTGAGTTTCTAGTGAATCTTTCCTTAATTTCTTGGTCCAATCACTACCACAACACCATATGGAACCTCAATTGCATCATATAAACATCATACAACCATTTGGGCAGAATTTCCATAAGCCCTAGTGCATCAAATAAATTGGGGAAAACTACTAAAACATGCTCATCATCCATAATCT